AACGGGGCCGGTAACAAGGCCTCTCTGAGCCGGATCCGGCCCGCGGGCTGTAGGTTGCCGACCCCTGCTCTACATGGTAGAATATTCGATCAGCATGGTGCATGGTTGTTCTTGTGTACCTTCAAGTAGTTTCCAACTTATGGCGACCTTAACATGGGGGTTTCTTGGCAAGATTTGTTCTGAAGAGATTTGTTATTGCCTTCCCTGAGGCTGAAATAATGTGACCAACCCAAGGTCACTCAGTAGATTTCATGGCCGAACGGGGAATTGAATCCTGGAGTCTGGAGTTGTAGTCCAATCCTTAAACCACTTCACTATGCTGGCTCTCACCAAACATTGGGTGTAAAATAATTGTTCCATTATAGGTGTGCCAACTAAATGTTTAGAAGTTGATATATTTAGTTTGAAAAGTTTAAGTTTAGTTAGTTAGAACTTAAATATTAGAGATCTGCTGCCACGTATGGATCGATTCCCACTTTCTGTTACAGCCACCTTTCTCTGATATGCCAAGCACAGACCATTATGTGTATTTCAGCATTTATTAAAGATTTGCCTGTTTACCTTCACTTTTCTTAATCAGTTAACTGATTAAGTTGATTCATTGATTATCTTGAGCTTCTTATATTGTGATATTGTATTATTAAAATGCTTGTGTTATAGCAACAGCAACATCATGTTTTATTGTTTTAATGAGATGGCATATATATTTTAAATTGAGAAGGGCAAAGTGTGACCTATTGGCTGCATATGCCTCCACCCTGGAAAAAAAATTAGAAAAATATTTCTGCTTCTGAAGGTTTTGTGGTAATGCTTGTATCTGGATTTATGTAATGCTTGTATCTGGAGTCTTTGGAGTCTCTAAAAGCTTCAAAGGGACACTGTCTCCAATTGCTTAGGCTGGCAAAGTAATTAAATAGGCAAAAGGTTTGGTAAGCTGATCTGCTGATTATGGTACTTATTTTCTGATTACTGCAGGTATTGGTCTTTAGCTGTTGTAGGGGCAACCGTGGTTAGTGGATTTCTTGGAGTTCAGTTTTCTGTTCTTAGTTATTGGAGCACACTTTACTTTTTCAGTATTGTCAGTCATGGAGAGCAATCCTTTGCCACTTCTCAATGCTGTTGCCACCAGGGATCACACAGGGGCATGTTTTGCCTTCCACCTCACCTTAACTGTGGGCCTTTACAGACTGCCAGAAATAATGTAGCTTGAGTCTACTTTACCTGCCCTGGCTCAGTGCTAAGGAATCATGGGAACTGTAGTTTATTGTGGCTCCAGAGCTCTCTGCCAGAGAAGGTTCAATGTCTCAGAAAAAACTGCAGTTCCCAGAATTCTCTAGCACAGCCAGGGCAGTTAAAGTGGACTCAAGCTGCATTATTTCTGGCAGTCTGTAAAGGCCCTGTGGTTCCTGTGCAGTAGCTGTTCTTCATTGCTCCTTTTTACTGCTTCCTACCTCATTTTCCACCATCTGCCCCATGTAGTTGAAATGGCTGCTTTTGGAGAAACAAACCATGGACTATCAGCTGGTTGCATAATTATATAGTATTTTCTCCCCATGTCTTTTGCCCCTTTCTAGGGACTGACTGGGTCACCTGGGCAAGTCACATGCTCTCAGCCTCCAGGGAAGTGTAATGGCAAACCTCCTCTGAACAATTCTTGGCAAGAAAACTTCATGATAGGTTTGCCTTAGGGTCGCCATTCGGGACCAACAACAGCAACATCAGGGAGTATTACCTGGGCTCGTGTTCACGCTGCTTTTCAGAAGCTGGAGGTAAAATGTGTTTGGATCACTGGCTCAAATTATGGTGACAAAGATGTCTGAAGTTTTTGTTTTGCTTTGCTTTTTAAATAAAGTAAAGTAGCTTGCAGTTTAAAAAAGAAAAACATACACAGGAATATTAGAACTCAGATCCTTTTAAAGCAGTGGTCCCCAAAGTGGGCAGTAATGCCCCCCTGGGGCATTGGAAAGCTCCAGGGGGGCATTGAGGGGAAAAAGAGCAGCAGGGGGCACTAAGAGGGAAAAAGGAGGTGGCAGGGAATTGTGGCAATGGGGGTTACAAGTAGGGTTGCCATTGCTGCTGAAAAACTTTAAAAGTCCAGGATTGAAGTTTTTGAAAAGCAGCAGGTCTTGGGTTCCTGAAGGCAGGAGTGAAAACAAGGGGAAAAACTCATCAAGATCACGCCCTTGAGCCTCTGCAACACAATGAGAAACCTTTCTTTTTCTCTCCTGTGTGAAAATACCTGCCCTCCTCCTCTGGCAGATAGTATTGAATTTCTCAAGAATTCACTGTATTGTTGCATCTGAAAAAAAAAAAACTTTTAAATGCTGCTTAAAACACATTAAATGCATTTTTTAAAAAAAGTTTGACTTTTGTTGGAGGTAAAGACCTCAAAAAGTTAAGTCTCAGCCCTTTGTTCTCTCTTGTTTAGGATTCCCCTGTTGTGTCTAAAATGCAATATCTTGAAATCTAGAGAGCATATCCAAGAGTAGCTGTGGTTGGCCACACTGCAAACAATAACATCCAACATCCACAAAACAGTGATACCTTTCTCCTGTTTGATTTTTAATACCTTTGCCCAATGAAGAAGCCAGTTAAGCTTCAAAAGCTTGTTTCATCCATTTTGTGCATTTTGGTTGGCCAGTAAAGGTATCACTGTTTTGTGGACTTTGGATGTTATTGTGCTTTATTTGTTTATTGGATGTTATTGTATCCTGGTGGCGCAATGGTTAAATGCCTGTACTGCAGCCACTCACTCACAAACCGCAAGATTGTGCGTTCAATCCCAGCCAGGGGCTCAGAGTCGACTCAGCCTTGCATCCTTCCAAGGTCGCTAAAATGAGTACCCAGTTTGTTGGGGCAATTAGCTTACAGTTGTAAACTGCTTAGAGACTGCATAGTGCAGTATGAAGCAGTATATAAATGAAGCCGCTATTGCTATTCTTTTCTACACCATTCTGGGACAGGACAAAGGGAGGTTGAATGGAGAGCTGTGCGGGGAAACAAGCTGTGTCTGTTCAGGCTGAGAGGCAACAGGCCTAGCATGGCTCCTCTGTCTTTGCCTCACCCTGGAACAGAGCAAACGGACCCTGTCTTTCCTCTTCCCTTGCTCCTTCCCCTCTTTGGGTACCAAAATACTTGCCATACCCACCTTTTCCCAGAAACTGCTCAGCTTCTCCCTGCAATGAGCCCAAGGAGGATAAGAAAGACACCAGCTGATTGCAAGGCAAGAGGGAAGGGAGCGGGTACAGGCATGTGCTCGTCTTTTCCTTTTGCCTCAGCTAGCTAGCTCAAGCCAGCTAGTCAATGCAGAAGGGAAGGGGGCAGGCTCTTCTTCCGTTTCCCCTTGTGTTGAATACTGTCAGTGCTCTGGTGACCCCTGGGGTTTCCTGTTCCTTCCTCCCCCCTTTTATTCCCCTCTCCCTCCCTTTGCCAGGAGAAGCTTGGAGGAGGAGGAGGAGGGTAGCTGCAGGGACATTTCTTAGTATGGGCTACCCAGGCAGCCACACAGCCCTTCCTTCCTCAGGTGGAAATCCTGCTGAGCTCACCTGCCTGCCCTCTTCACCAGGCACCTCATTCTGATAGTGTTGTTCCTTCCTCCCTCTTTCACTTTCCCAAGCTACCCACCCCCCAGCTTCACCTACATTCCCCCAAATACGAACTTTGGGGCTCTAGGCTCCCATTGGAACTTGGGCTGGTTAGCTGCAATTGTTGTTATTGTGTGCCTTCAAGTTGTTTTGACTCCTAATGACCCTAAGGAGAACCTGTCATGGGGTTTTCTTGAAAAGGTTTCTGCAGAGGTGGGTTGCCATTGCCTTCCTCTGCAGCTGGGAGAGTGTGACTTGCCCAGAGTCATCCTGTGGGGTTGCATGGCAAGCAAAATTTCATTTACTTCACTTGCAAAACTACCAAAAAGCAACTGTTTTCCTTGCTTAGGCTACTTTCTTTCTTACTCTCCCTCCCCCTCCGCCCAGTGGACCTAATGCCAAGAAATAGGCTAGAGTTGTCACCCAAGAGGAATGGGGATGGTCACCTGGAAAAGTTTGGGGACCACTGCTTTCATGTAGCATTTAGAAATCTTTGGTTTAGAAGACAGTGAACAAAAATATGGTATGTAATTGTGGGGAACAGTATTAAAGAGCTACTGGTATGTCAGGTAGTTAAATGATAAAGCAATTGTTTTAACTGCACGAAAAGCATCTGTTTACAGCTTGTGTTTGTGCTAGAGGGCAATGTGCTCTGGACAGTTTGGTATATATGCATAATGTAATGATGGTGTTGACTATTTTCAGGTTATAAAAACGATAATCATTATGTGTATCACCTCGTACTAACTCACTACTGTATTATTAAACTGGTAATAGAAGCAAACTAAAGATAAACCAAACATTGTTATATTGAAGGAATCGGAGATTGCTAGCCCTTCAGATGTTTGTGTTCTTTCTATATTTTATAATCTTGTGATAGCCTTTTCAGAGTATTTCTATACTCTGAAGAGGCTATCACAAGATTATAAAATATTGGCAGCCAGGATGGAAATGTTCTGAAGAAATGTGTGGCCCTTTCTTGAACCCCACATACATCATTGCAAAGCAATAAAAGAATTCAAAGGGATTTAAATAACAATTTCAGATATAACAAGGTAGAGCATTAACAAATGTGATGCAAGGTCAGATGTGGTTACTGCTTGAAAAAGGGCTCCCCAGAGAATCCCATAGATTCCCCAGGAGAAAATCTTGGCTGAAACCCAGGAGAGACTCTGCCAGTCAGAGTTGAGAATACAGGGCTAGATAGACCTGACTTAATATAAGGCAGCTTCCTATGTTTTTGTGGTGGTGTGCTGTTCAAAGTGTATTGGAGGCGGTGGGTATTTTTGTTCTTTACTAAAGGTCTTGCATATGCCTAAAGTATTTCTTTGGATCCTAGCCAGAATGTACAGGAGTCCATCCCCCTTTTCACTTTTGCCAAGAGGATCTGTTGCTCTGAAGTTTTGTCAGTATTTGAGTTCTTTAAAAAGCAGAGCTGAGGAAAGGAAGAACTTTATTTTTGGCACTTCAAGAAGTCCTAACAACTTCTCACCATTAATGAGTAAAAATAGTTTCAAAGAACTGCATAAATAATCTGGTTCATTTGTTGTATTCCTTTGTCACTTCACTTCAGTTTTCAGTGAAAACCAACGTTAGCATCCTTTTGGGTATGCATTCACACTGAAGTAACTTCATGCAATCTTGCTGTCAGTTTGGCAACCTAGCATAACCTTGTTGGAATCCAAACATTAACTACGTAACGATTTTATAGTAATATACTTGTGTAGCTCAAAGCTTGGA